CGCCCGCCGCCCGCCCTCCCGCGGCGCCCGCGCCCGCTCCCTCTTTCTCTTTCTCTCGCACACACACTCTCTTACTCCATCTACTTTGCGGCCTTGGAGGGGAAGGAGGAAGCCGGGCGGAGCCGGGCGGGGGAGGTAGCGGTCCCGGGGAGGTGTTTCTCGCCCGACGAGCCGCCTCGAGTGCAGAAAGTACAGGTAAAAGTCGGCGCCGGACGTGCCGGGAATGCCGGGGGCCGCGCGGCGGCCGGCGGGGGTGCGGGGGCTGGGGGTGCGCGGCCCGGGCTGGGCCGGGGGCGCCGGAGAGTAGGGAGCGAGCCAGGGGATCGGCTCCCAGCCGGGGCGAGGCGGGGTCCTGAGCGGGGTGGGGGGAGGGGAGAAGGCGAATTGGGTGGCTCGGTCGGGGTTCGGGAGACCTCAGACAAACCATCCCCGGGCTACCAAGTCCCCCTCCGCCCCCCACCTGCTGCCCCCCGCCGCTGGCTCGGGAGCCCTCCTGGCTGGGGCTTGGGGGCGGTCCTTGCGGGTGTCGCGCGCACGGGGGGCGAAAGGGGGCGCTGCCGAGGACTCTAGGGGGGAAGAAGGGAACGTGGAAGTCAAAAGTGGGTGGTAACACCTTGCCTGAAGATCTGGGATGAGCTCTGCTCCCAACACTGTACCTCACCCTCAGTGGCTACCTGTGTCCAGGCCCTCGCAGGTAGTGGCCAACATCAGCTACTTTGAAAGCATTTCTGAAGTGGTCTAGGAAGACGTTAGTCTGGCATCTTGGAAACCATGGAATAATCATGGCCTCTACAATCTAGGCTTTACTAGTTTTGAATACAGTCTTTCCTTCTGTGGAATTTCCAACAAGTGGACAGAGCATCCCTGTGCCCTGTGGAGAATGCCCAAATGAGGTGTTGACCCCAAGAGAAGGTTCAGAATGAAGAAACCAAAAATACCAACCATTTTGACCAAGAGGCCTGCTGACTATCTGAGAAACCAGTGTCAGAAGCCAGCATGTCCTTGTGGACTCCCCTGAACTTGAATCTCTTAACACTAACCTTGGTTCTCAAGACTTTGGACAAAATTGAGATGAACATCCCAGGGGGATGAGCTAGACTTGTAAGAGACTGCAGGGGTGATTCACCCACATTGAACTTTTGCCTCTGAGTCCTCTGGTCAATGGAAGCTTTTCCAGATGGTGGATATGCTGACTTATGTGAGGGAAGCATAGAGAATAGCCCAGCTGGTATCTCAGCTTCATGGGAGACCTGGCTCTTTTGGATGATTCTGCACTTGGTGAGGCCCAGTCATGGACCACTCACCCTCTGGCTCAGGTGGGATGGATGGGTGATCTTAGCACTTCTGGGGAAGAACGATGCAAGTTGACCTCTCCACCTTACTGCCTTACCTATCCCTAGGCTAGTAGAGGAGATGAAGTTGGGTAGAGACCTGATGAAGAACATTGGCAGATTGTGGCCCAAGCAATTTTGACCGTTTCAAGATGGTGAAGCAATTTTTGAAGCCAAAAGTTGAAGCACAATTAAATAAGCTATTTGAGTTTCTGGAAGTATAGTCAACACTATTAGGACTTGGCCAAAGGTAGAATATTGTTCAGGGGCATAACTCTTAAAAGTTTTTCTAACCATCAGTACTGAGTCATCATAGAGGTGCTGCCCTTGCCTGGGTGAAGAGTTGTCTCTTGAAGGCATTATGAAGACATATTCGGAGTTGTCAGTATTTCTCCACTTCAAGCCTGGAACTTATGAACCTTCTGGGGATTATTTCTTATTTAATGTTCATGTGAAACTACCCTCCTTCACATTGGTAGTTATAGTTGCCAAGTGAGTCTGTTAAGAGGGGAGTTTTCACTCTGGCCTTGGAACTACCTAATCTCTTCAGGAGTACTTATTGAACCTCAGTAAAAGCAAGAATAATAATAATTACTTCTGTGATAGTAGGTAATTGTCCTAGATGTAAAATAGTTTTCCTGTGGCAGATTATTTGCATAGTCATTACTAAAAGGGCTAAATTGTATTACAAGAATATAACAGTGTCAACATTTTTATAGCCCACGTCTACATTACATAACTTAGACGAGGGAATTTAATTTGTTGTTTAAATTTGGCTTTACCAACAATTAGAAGTGCTAATTTTACATTAGCATATATATTTCTAATTGTAAAATGATTGCGTATAAAAAATGGAATGTTGATTTAAGGACAGATCTTGGAATATCCACTGCACTGATTGACCTTGAAAGGAAAAAAAAGACTGATATTCTCAATTATGGTATTATGTTCATTAAATACTAGGGTATATGTAAAATAGTTTTTTATAACCTCTACCCAAGAAACCATATTTTGAGTGGGACTAAGTAAGAACTGTTGCATTTGTAATCTTATGCTTCACCTGTGTGCCTGCTGACATTATCTTTGAAACTTTATGGTGAAAATGTCATTTGGATGGTAGATATTCTTCTTGCTCTCTTTGGCGCTTTGGACAATTCAACTGTGAAGAACTAAACGTTCTTTGTGTAGCATTATTTAAGGAATGGGAGCTGATTTTAGAGATGCCACAAAACAAAAACTTTGTTCTTATACTCTTCAGTCATGATGAAATATGGAATCAAATTCTGTTTCCAAATTTTGGATCTTGGTACATTGTTCTGCTTTCTCCTAGCAGAGTTCACATAGTCTTCTAGTGTTTTATAGCTATTACCTGTAAGGTAATCTTAAATGTGGGTTGGTCTCCTTAGACTCAGGTATATGGGTACAAAATGAAAGTCCTTATCTCTGGATATTCTGGTTTATGTTCTGCTAAGCACAGGGACATGAAATGGTAGTCTATGAGCCAGGTCGAGGCTAATTATTTTGCCTTGCTTGCTAGTAGATAAGAAAAATGCATTTGGATACCTTTGGATGGGGCATGTGAACTCTAGTTTGCCATTGTTGTGTTGCACCCTTTTATCAGGTATCCAGTTGGCTTCACTCTTGCTTATCTGACTCCAGCAGGCATAGAGTATGCAACCCCACTATGCTAGTCAACTAGGAAGATGCTTGGGGCTCAGGAAGACATAACCGGTAGCACAATGGGCCCAGTTGGCTTACCTTGCCCACCTCTGTGTCCATAGGTCTTTGTACATTCAAATACTTGTTGACTGAATATGTCAACAGAAGACTGAGTTGAGTGCATATAAAGAACTCAGCTGCTTTGGTTACCCTTATATTCAGTGTTCCTCTCTGTTCACTCTTCTCTTGATTGTGGTCCTAGTGGTGGTTACCCCATGTGTGGGGATGGCTTTCTGTTCTCTCTAGAAGGAGGGGGGGGGGTGACTGAGTCACTATTCAGAGAAGGCGGAACATTACTCATCAGAAAGATTGAGTCCATCTACATTTTAGCCATGTGGCTGACTTACCATGTGGCCATTGGGTGATGTTTACTCCCTCTTATGATAAGTTGACATTGCAGAGAGGATCTCCACTTCCCTGGCAAATGTCACCAGAGAATGCTGTATGTCATAAAGTCAGTAGTGGTCAAGTTGACTTTTTATGGACTTGACAGTGATAACTCCTGTGTGCTTGTCAATGTTCAATCTATTTATCCTTCCCAAAGTTTTATCTTACAAAGATGCAGTGTTCTCCATCACTTTCGTGGACTCTGATAGGTCTGTGTGTGTGTGTGCATGAAAATATTGCTTTCGTTTCATTTCAAGTAAAATAAATAATGACAATAGGGTAACTTAGTTTTGTTCAAAGAAATGTAGTTAAAAATCTACTCTGCCCATGGTGACTGTGTTCAGACATTTGTGCTGTGGCACTAGATGTGCACCTAGAGTTCTTCAGAATCACGCACCAACAAGAACAGGGTTGAGGCTGACTGTTGGAACTAGAGGACATTGTAACCAGAAACAAAAACCAAAATAATATTATATATATAAAATAATAAAAATATACAGATTGGTGAATTCTCCACGTGATTGATAATTTTGCCCTTAACCTGCCAGTCCATCCTTTACAGCCTCCTGGTAGGACACAGAGTTCCTTCTTTCTGTAGATTGCAGAGAATATTCAGTTCTCACAAAGAACATATTAGTCAAATTTAAACCTGGCCCACGACATAATCCTCTTCATCCATCTGTGTAGGGAGAAATGTTTTCTTAGTCCCTTCATCGATAACTTGCATCTTCTCTGGGCAGGTTAAGCTAGTGGTTCTGGGAGCTACAATCAGCCATAATCATATCAAAGAAAGGCACTCGAATGTCTCCAGCTTTGTTCCATGTTCTCATATATCATTCAGCCTTTCTCTTTCCTTGTGAGAGTGCTTTCCTATGATTGCTTGAAAACATAAACAAACTGGGCAAAGTCACGTAGAATCAGCACAACTTGCTTGTTATGCAATATCATTCCCTCACTTACCAATAATGCCTGAAGTAATTCCTGTCAAGGACTTGCATGTACTAGCAGAATAGAACAGACGGTAACAGAACTTCTTGAATCTCTGTACCAGTATTTATATCTTCAGAGAAATTGTATTGGTGGAGTTCACTTGATTCCTTGGTGCGTAGCAGGCACCTAATGAACACTGAATGGATATATGATACTTCCACTTTTTGAAAGTAGTTTTAAACTACCTCCTGTGGGGAGATATTGACTTATTTTCAAATCAACATTTATGTTAAGAATTTTAAGTCATTCCTTATTGCTAATAGTCATTTTTTCAGAGACTTAAATTGTCCCTAAGAGGAGTTTATAGAACTCCTTTCATTTGACCAATTGCTATAGTGTGGTTCAGACATGGTAATTCCCGAAGACACGTCAGAGACACACATTT